TGGAGATTCAGATTGAACTTGGAATTCTCCTCAATTTTGTGACTTTAGTGCCACTTAGAATATTTCATGATTTTATCTGGTTGTAACTGACATTTTCATAAAAAATTACAAATTTTCAATCAAAATCTTTACAAAATATTTCCTAATTTTATAAAAAAAGTTGAATTGCTGATAATATTTAGTGCCACATTATCAGTGCGAAATTTCTGCAGTGAATGTTTCGTAATTATTCAAGCACTTTCCACACACTGTAGACATGAAAGTGAAACACTCAAAACTGAAATATTTACCAAAAACGATATTTGAATTAAATATTAACACTTTGACAGTTTACTATCCCAATATGTCTCCTTAATGCATCAAAACAGGTGGTGTTTCATAAAACAGATTAACAAGTGAATGAATGTGTAATAAAAACAACCATAACCAACGACTCATTGTCCTTAGACAGCATTTAGGATTCTGTTATTACTATTTACCAATTGCGAATAGTGAATATTTTTTAGGTTTTTTGTTACATAAATTTATGTCTTTTTCAAGACAAAATTTTCAACCATAGGTTATATATAATTATAACCATCAGAAATAATATATACACATACAACTGAAAAAGCATTGAATACAATATAATAATGAGGTTATTCCGTATATTCACGAATGCAGTACAGTGATCATATCAAATATGTACATGTACTGCCTGAAGGCATACTTTGCGGTATTCTTGGGATGAACTTATTATGTATACATCTTTTTCCTGCTTGAAAAAATAATTTAATGAAAGATAACATATTTTTGCAGCCAGAAATAGCAATAATAAATTGTTTGCGTTGGGCGCACGTTTGTGCTCAGAGATGGGATTCTATTTCCATAACGTACTATAGCACTTCTGCGTTCAATGTGAACAAAAATGTTCAAATACGACATGAACCTGACACGCAAATAAGAAAAACATTCAAGTACATCTGTAACACTATCGAACCTGTTCGTACAGCGTTTTACAGTCGGTTGAATTCAATTTTTTTCAGTGAGATGTGTGGGAGTCTAGTTTATTGCATTTTTAGAATTATAATTTTCTAACAGTATGTGGCAATAACGTTTTGTATAACTACATAACTATGAAATGAAAAATAAAAGATAAATTTACATATTTTGTTCGTTGATAGCAGTGTGAATATAGTGTGAAAACATTGGTCAATGTTCCCATGTCATCAATTTGTCAGTAATTTAAATATTTATTCGAGAATAGCATCTCTGGATGTGCTCACATTGATTGTTATGTGAAAAAGAATGAATATAGTCAGACCTTGCATAAAAAAAAAAATTTCTGGTCAATTTTTTTTTTTTTTAAATGGGCTGAATGTTGCAGGTTTAATCAATATGTCAGTGCTCATTCCAAATTTTGTAAGCTTTATGAATATATATGTAGTAAATCTTTCAAATGTACAATGAATACAATGGTGTTTTGTTGAGATTTTCACCCCAATGGGCACTTATAGCCTTAGATAACCGTTCATGCACATTATCTTAGCCATTATTTTTGACATCCTAACCCAATGTAGATGTTGATATGAATCTTGTATACACACGTGCATGACAGAAATAATTTTCTGATCTAACAATAAACACAATGGAAATGACAATCATTGTCTATTTATTCTGACATGCAGTTTTCAAAGGAGATTTCAAAATTGAATAATCATTTTGTCATTTTTGATATACACATGTACGCATCAATATGTATGTGGGTATATTTGTATGATCAACTCATGTATGTAATAATTCCATATAACTATGAAAGTTGGCTTGCTGATGAACAGAAATTCTTCAATCTTTTACCTTATCTCAATAAACATTTTTGAGAAATAATGCTTTGTGTTTGCCCTATCTATTTTGAAGCAGATAACCATTGGAAAATATTTGGAAATGATCATACATTAATTTTCAAGTTTTCATTTTCTGTGTATATATAAAGCACAGACAGGGAGGTATTGTCATTCCAATGTCTGTGTGTGCGTGTGTGTTTGCGTGTGTTATTTATCATCGCTATCACAGTGTGTGGGTGAATTTAATCAATGAAAACTTGACTCAAATTTTCATGTGATAATTACAAGATCTAAAAAGGTTTTATAGTACACATTGAAACTAATTTTGTATACCTGTATATTGAGGTCAAATATTTTATATCTGGTTCTATTAATAATTGTATGCAATATATCATAACCAGCCAGTTTGGAAGAGTATATATTTAGTTAATTGTTGATTTCACCAAGTATGCACATTTTTTATAAATTTTCATAATTTTCCCTAGCAATAAATTGTTTTTTTAAATTTAATAAAGCTGTTTACATTACTTAAACTGTTGTACCATTCATACTTGCTGTAATGGATTAGATAAAGAATTAATATAAAGTAAAAGAATTTTTACTCCAGGATACTATTCACTCTGATAAATTTCAATTTAGTCAGTTTATTTGTGTCTTAAGATTTAAAAAAAAAATGTCATTATTTTTGTAAAAATCAAATACATATTAATATTGACACATAGAACATAATACTAAATTGTATTGTACAATAAATATAATTTATTTATGAACAAACAAAATATTATTTGTATGGATATGACGTACATAGATGAAGCTCTCCCATACAGCTACAGCTGGTATCCTATGATTATATGATGCTTTGTATTTTATGAATAACTTACGTCATCATGTAATGCAACCGACTGTGTATTATTATTTGTATTTTGATCCGGATACACATGTGTGCAGTATTGTTTTTTCTACAAACAATTAAGTAAAATTCTGATTTAATGAAGATTTTGACCGTAAATTTTACAAACATTATAGAATGCTTTTAACAGCTAAAATATACAGTAAATAACCCCCCCCCTCCCTCCTATTCAGAAAACCCTACCTCCTCCAGGTTGTAAATGTTGAGTTGTTAGCATTTACTGTTAGTTTGAAATAGTACGCAGACATGAAATTGATTATATAAGTATTACAGCCAATTTAAAAACAAATGATTACTATTAATATGGTAATTATATTTGACAGTTTTCGATTTACTTTGTTAAGAATCCTTAGTCATTGTGGAAAAATGTACAAATTGATGATTAATTTATTACGTAAAAATCTAAAAATTTCAAAGTCGATTTGCTTCCTATTTTATACATAATGAAATAAATGGATCCTTGATTAGGAAGCTTGCATAACATTGCCCAATTGTAAGGGCCAACCCAATGGTGAAGTTGCAAATGTGAGGGTAAACAACCGCTACATGCAAGTCACTAACTGTCGTACATATGAAGTTTAACTGGTATGATTTTATTAACATGCCTGACTGAAAAAATGTACACAGTACGTGTTCTTCCCATCAGTTAAGATAGAATGCTGTACAAATAAAAAAAGTATTGTCATTTTCTTTATTTTTACGTATTTGATATATCATGTTATAAAGATTAAGAAAATGAAATAAAACATGTTGTCATAGTACTCAGATCACAGAAAAACAATCAATAAAATACAGTGATAATAGCATGTTTTGTCTTTTTTAGGGCATATTACCATTGTTTCTTATGGCATGGATATGTATCAATATCTAAAAATTTTGCTTCGTGACATATGGTGAAAAAAGATACAAGTCTTACAGGGTACTTTTTGATGATGACAAGTATTAAAAAATTGACAACATTTCTATGGAAAAACCTTGCTAAAATGGCATTTGATTCATATAATTTTTTTTAAAAATCAAAATGACATTGAACCAAAAAAGTTCACCTACTGTTGACTATATACTAAAACGAATAATTGTAGACAGATTTTGACACAAAAACTTGCTACTGTTATATATGCTAAAATATACACAAATGTAAAATATGCGTGAGTAGCATTCTACCCCAATGCCACTTTTACTGTCCAATTTACATATTAATTTTGTTATGTTGGTGATAACTAACATCTTAGTAAATTCTATTGCTTGAGGCAGTTTGATCTGAATTCAAAATTAAATATTACAAAATTATTAACTGCAGCTGAGGGGTATATAAAGATTTGTCTCACTGATCCAACAATTATATATTTACCGAGGTGCAGCCGAAGTGAATAATTACTACATCCAACAAATATTTATATACCCCACAGCTTACAGTTAATAATTATTTTGTCATCTTGAATTCAGGAGTTTACTTGTCAAAATCATTTGCTGATTTTAATGTCCATGTGGACTCATCGGCAAGCATTGCAGCGCAGCGGTCAACGGGCTAAGCAAATAAGTAACTATACAAAATTTTCCCTATTTTCAACATGTCTATTGACAAGAATATTTTGGATGTCGTACAGTCATCTGCCAACCTGGTTGCACGTTTGTGTGCTTCATTTGTGTTGTATTATCGATCAGGCCGAACACGATCTTGTCCGCTGCTTGTGTTGCATGTTGTGGGTTTCTGCATCTGTATTGAAAGTATTGTTTTGATCATCATAGTAATAAGTTGTTGTTGACCATGTCCATATTTGGCTTTCAAAATTTTGAAGTTTGATGTCCAAATTTGATCCAAATTCTGTAGGCAACATATGGTACTGTGTCCTACGTGCAAACACCATTAGAGTGGAATGGTGGCATGATTTGCATAAACTTGGGGGGCCCTGCAGTTCTCCTCCAATCAGCTTGGCGTACTAGAATATGAAAGAGGATAAAAAATTTTAAATACATGTCACCAGCAATATTTTGAGATATGAAGGAATAATTTCACTAGAAAAATATAAAATTACCATTTTAACCATTTTCCATGACATTTCAAACTGAATTTTTTTCATTTACCGTATGAAAGTATCATAAATGAAAAAACATAAGTTTCATGATATTTTAATCAATGAATGGTCAAACCAATATGTTTACATTCCCTGGGAACAATACTGCCTAGCCATGTGCCATTGTGTGCATCAGATTATGCCTGTCTATCAACAACAACTGTATTTTTGTTTATATGTTTTATTCCCTAGGCAATAACAAAGATCACAGTTCAAGATGGTTGAAGGCTGCGGACTAAAGTGCATGAAAGCACTCCTATTTATTTTCAACTTCATTTTCTGGGTAAGATTTCATATTTGTTTTTTAAATATAGAGGGCGCTGTCTATATTATATTTTAGTCACTGTTATCCAATCACCTTTATTTCCATATATTCATTCATTTATTAATTAAGGTTGCTGTTCTTTCATTATTTTCAATGTCACTCAGTTCAATGTCAATTTTGTACGTATTAGTTTTTTTTCATGAAAGAACATTGTTATTTCTCCACTAGAGGGCGCAATTCCTTACAGCAGTTGTTCACCTGCAAGGATTTTTGTGTACACCTCTTCATTGTCCTAATATTTTCAACAAAATAAATATTACTCAATCAACTTAACTATCTATCTGAAGCAAACATACATCAATAAGTGTATTTAGTATATATTTAGTGTATCATTAAAATATGACCCTTATTTGACCACAGAAACGCATTACCGGTACATTTCATTTCACAGTCACTCTCATTTACATAAGCGCATGTGCTACTAATAGAGCAGATAAAATATTGTACTGGTGCATGATAGAGTAAATGAAAATATAATCTGCCTGATTTGTTTTCTATTTTTTCTGGGTCATAACCTTTTGTTTGATATATTATAGCTATCAGGTATAGCCCTATGTGGTGTAGGAATATGGATCACAGTGGAGGTGAGAAGTTCATCGGCGTGCTGGATAACCCGTTGGTGGTAAACTCTGCGTATATGCTAATTGCCGCTGGTGCGGTTGTTATTGCAGTTGGTTTCTGTGGTTGTTGTGGGCCATTAAAGAAAGCAGGTGTCTTCTGGGATGTGTAAGTTTTCAATAGTAAGATTTTTAAACTTAATGATCAGAAATTCTTCACCAAAATATTTTTTTTGCATTTTGCATTTTGAACATTTTTATTAAAACAATGACATTGGCTTCAAATGGAATAGCTTTCTTTACATAAGAATATCATATCGGTTTACTTAAAGCAGGGAGTCATCACGTTATCGTCGCTCGGGACTCAATTCCAGCACATACGTAGGTGATGACCTCCTGCATTAATATAGACATTTTTTTTCTAATGAATACTTAATTTCATAGCTTCATACCAATTATGAGTGCTTTTTTACTTACAATTGATTTGTGACAAAAAGTTGCAAATGTATAATAAGTTCATATGCATGACCCCACAAGGTCACACATCCTGGTACTGTTTTGTTTTCCGTATAACAGCAGTAAGATTCACTATTATATGTGTAACTTGTTTTTTCATGATTAACTGTTTTTGAATTTCAATAACAATTGCTTGCATTGCGAATAAAGTGTAAAAAAGAAATTCTCTTTGAGTTTACCAGGATGTGTAATTTTTTAGAAATTGCACTTTTGGCCTACTTTAAACTTGGTGAAAACTAAGATTCAAGACGTTAATGATAACCATGACATTGATATACTCATATTTGTATTCATTCCTAGTACTTTGTATTTCTGCTGATTATTTTCCTTGTGGAGTTGAGTGCTGGGATTTTAGCGTCCATTTATGGTGCTGAACTTGAGAGCTATGTTATAACCTCAGCTAACAAGACTCTTATGGAAGATTATGGTAATGTGAAATATGTCACTGATGCATGGAATGAAGCACAACTTATTGTAAGTGTTCAAATTGCTATGTGATTCATGATTGTAAGTTTATGATTATTGATCAGTTCAAACAGGTGTCATTCGTAGATCCTGTTGGGTCGTCTAATCGAGCAAAATTGTTGTTGTCTGAGTAAAAATATGTCTGCATGTCTGTTAATCCATGTTTTGTTCAATTGCCAGTAAAAATTAGTTAAATCACTTTCAATTTTGAATAACTTGGCCAAAAAAGTAAATCTGAAAGTTATACTGATAAAAATCCGACCCATTGAGTCATTGTTTGTCTTTACTACAATATTTTAAGTCAGACATTGGCGTATGCAAATTCTGCTTCAGTTGCAAAATAAATACAACTAATCTAGGAAGTATGTAATCTGTTCAATATACAAAGTTCGCAGTTGTCGCAGTGATAACATAAGAAAAATACTGTGGAATACTTTATTTTCGCTGGAATTAATTTTCACTGAAAAGGCTTTTTGGGCGTTTTGTATGGAATTTATTTTCACTGATTTTTGATGAGTTAAATGTGAAATATAGGAAAAAAAGTATATTCCCTGGATTTTATTTTCACGGAATCTTTCCTTCAGCGAAAATAACGAAAATAAATTCCAAGTGAAAATAAAGTATACTACAGTAGTTGTATTATTTAGTTAATAATAGGTTTGTCGTCTCAAATTCAGAAGTTTAACTTACTAATCATGTGGCATATCTGCATGGTCTCAGTGGCAAGCACATCATCCAGCAACTTGGCTCAACAGTTATTTTCTCAATTTTCATTGTTTGTTTACATATTCAAATTGTGTAGCCAGCACTATGTGTTTTCAGTATTGTCGTACATGCAGACATTATTAGATTGGAATGCCGACATAAACTGAGGGGTATATTATCAATTCCATTCTATGTGACCAGCTCTCCTCCGATTAGGGCGTACTAAAATATGAGAGATGACAAGACTTTTTAATTCCAAGTCAGCGAGGAAAATTTACAGATATGAAGGAATAATATTACCGTAGAAACAAAAAATTCCAATTTTGACCATTTTCCATTTCAATCATGGTATTTCCATAGCATTATACCCTATCTTGGAAGTCATTTTGTATTGAAAAATTACAATCAGAGTTCATAATTAGAAAATTTGTAAAACTTGTTCAAATGTGTTACTACCCGGTATTGAACAATTATTGTTACTTCTCCATTGAAGGTTATGAGCCGACCTTCCTTATTGATACTGGCTTTCTTAATTATTACTTGCTCTGAAAACATAGCTTTGTATTTACAATTGTTTATTAACCAATGCTGCTGAATATATGTACAGTGAATACATTTTAAATAATAAACCATACTGTGTTACTAAAAAGGGATATTTGTGCAATGTGAGAATTCTGTTGCATAGTGGTCATACCTAGGTTCTGTTAATATAAGACCTGAATTAACTAAGGAGTCAAAGAGTGTGTTGAATGTACATCAAGGTTTGCTCAGATTTATGAATGCAGTGTCTTGAGTATTAAGTACTTGACACGTGTACTCTGGGATTCTGGATATACATCAATGAAACTCTTCAGTTATCAGTACAATACTAGATTATGGGAAATCACTTTATGATGAGTTGTACTCACATAGAGTACATATTCATCAACCTGCTTGCAGATGTTCTATGAACGGTATTACATTATGAGTGTTTTAAAATCAAATGACAGGGAATGTTTTTTCTTCAGATTTTAAAATAGTTGGTCACACACGAGAAATAACATGGTATATGTGCTCTCTGCTCATTGAAAATTTTCAACTAATTTTTTTTATATAAAGTTTGAATGCTGTGGTGTCTATGGTTATGAGGATTATCAGGAAACATCTTGGTTTGAGTCAAGCCCGTTGGCTTATCCTGTGACCTGTTGTAAGATTGTTAACTACAAGAGTGCAACTCCAGTTGATCCTGAAAAGTGCTACGAGATGGAAAATGTAGACTGGGCTGGAAAATACATGAACACACGGGTAAGACACTGTTTAGTTAATAAGGTTAAGTATTTAACAATGTGACATTTTTATGCAGAGGATAAATAAATAAGTAATACGGTAGTTTAGTTAGTTGTTTAACCCAACCCTATACAGGGACTGGTTGGTTAATAAGTTTTAGTATAAAATGTTGTACAACCCTTATTGTTCACTAATACATGCTATTGTTATTTTATTACACATTTTCAGTATTGTGAGAGATATTATGTTGATTTGAAATTGCATAAACAAATGAAAAAAGATGGCACACAAATCAATCAATTACATATTTCAATCCATCTACTGCATCATCTGCGTCTTTCAATGTAGAGCGATAACAATATTGTATGTTCCACAGTTCCATAGGGCCAATAGCATTTCACTGTACACCTGTCTTAGATGTAAAAACAAGCGAAAATTTATGATATCTCTCCAGAATAAACATATAATACATAATGATGGTGTCTTATAGTATATGATAATATTGCAGCTTATCAACTCCTCATCCAATATCTAAGACACTATGAGTCATTAGTATTGTAATAAAGTATTAAACCACAATATCCTGTATCAGGACTTAATAGTTAATAAGGTTAGGATTTAATCACACTTATTAATATGACTTGTGTAATAATAGATCTGGTTATTTATAATTATTGTACATATTTTTGTCAATTTTTTTAGGGTTGTATTAATCAGTTCCAATCTTGGGTCCATGATAATGTATACATACTTGGGGGTGTCAGCATTGGAGTGGCTTGCTTACAGGTAAGATGTATTACAACCATGTTGCTAAGTTCAGACAAAAGTAAATGATGTGAATGATAAACACAGCGATTACATCTGGCATTATATCATCACCAAGCGACATAGATTGTACGCTCAACCACATACTTTTCATGTTTGTCACGAAAGTCAGGGCGCTCACACACTGAGGAAAGTGCATTGAAACCATTGGATGAAAAACAAATACAGATTGTGAACTGTGTTGGGAAATATAGCCTGGTTAACTTTCTCTTGTTTCATGGGTCTTTCGTCTCTCTCTATAATAGTCTGGACATGTTTTCTAGATTTCGCTTATTAATCTTGTAAATTTATTCAACCTTCACCAAAAATGGGATGGTCACACTTTTGTCTCTATAGTAACTATCAGTTGATGACATATAACAGTCGTCCATTTTTGAAAAATTAGCATATTCAGTTGATCAGCATGTAAAATACTTTATTTTAACTGGAATTAATTTTCGCTGAAAAGACTTTTTGGGTGTTTTGTATGGAATTTATTTTCACCGATTTTTGATGAGTTGAATGTAAAATATAGGAAAGAAGGTATATTCACTGGATTTTATTTTCACTGAATCATTCCTTCAGCGAAAATACCAAAAATTAATTCCAAATGAAAATAAAGTATTCTACAGTAATACGGGGCGGGAGCAAGATCCAATAAAGTACCGGTAAGAGAATATTAACCAGGCTATGAGAAATATTTAACTTTTCAGATTCCTGAATTTAAGCTGTTGTTGAGCATTCATTTGTTCCCTATTTTATATGCATAAATTTAAACATTTGAATTACTAATACATTTCGTTTTTTTCTTTCATTCACAGCTGTTTGGAATGATTTTTGCTATCTGCCTGTGTAGAAATATCGGTGATGATGACTAGATGCCTGTATTGGTGTTGCCATGGTTACTACCGTACACATTGTGTTTTTATTAGATTCTTCAAAAACATTTTTTTATAAATATCCAGCTGGTATAAAATAAATTTTCCTGTAGTTCTTTTCTAAGTTGAATGAAACTGCAAAAAGTTGATTATTATGCCTGAATTGGTTTATTTTAATTGTTTTGTTTTTTTATTTTTGAACAATGTGTTACATCTTGACTTTGATGTACCATTTTTAAACCTCTCAAAAAAGAATATTTGTTCAATTAGAAAAAAAATTAATATAAATCAATCATTTGGTCAAGCTTTCACTATAATTAAAGACTATCTGACCAGGTTTTAAATATTGATCGATGTACATTTATAAATTATAGTTATTAATTTGTAGTTTATACTAACATCGTATCAAGGGTGTAAAAAATATTCCAGTCATCTAAACTAGTGTACAAAAATTGTGATTAATAGCGTATAAAGTTGTTTTCATTGCAGTAGTTCATTTTGCTAGAGGTATGCGTACAGTACATTCCATAAACACTATTCAACAATAGAATGGGATTGTGAGATCGGCTGAAATTCAACTAAGTCTCTCCCCCTACCCCTCAAATGGATTTGTTTTTGTCAAATTCAGTCATACAGATGAAAAAGTTTTTAAGAAATACTTTGTAGTTGCAGTATTCCGTAGTTTCATCTCTATATTGAATACATGGTATATGGTATACAATGGAAACATGTAATGAATATAATGACATATATTTTTTGAATTATTGCAACCTCAAATTGTTTTCATTGCATCCTAAAAAATTTTGGCAAAAATGTCACACTTGAACATAATAATTTAGACACTGTACTGATTTTGATAGTAAATGTGAACAATTTTTCAGAGAAGACTGCCCTCATTTACATATTTAAAACTAAAAATGTTATCTTGGTCTGGCTTTGATTCTTTTAACTGAAAGTGTTGACTGTCGATCTAATATACTCTTCTATACAATTCTCAATCTTACCACCGGTGGCGCTTCTAAGGTACTGGTATGCTGGTATATTTGTCACAAGGGAACAGATCATCTTATATTGACCAATTCAGTAATTATGGATTATTTTGTATATGCTTGCCGAATCTTTGAACATATTTTAAAGATATTTTTAATTTCTTTAGCCACACATTAGATTCTTGCACTTATCTTATTAAGGGGTATAAGTTTATAGTCTAAATTAACAATCAGTCACATGACTGGTATACTTGTCTTGTATTTGTTAATTGTCAAATTATCATCTGATGTCATTTGCATGATTCAAGAGAACAAACTTCTAGAATTTTGCACTATATGATTTAATCTGCTTCGTAGAAACAATTTTATAAAAATTCAAAAATATTACATGACTGTACATTTTGATTAAAGGTTATTAACCTCAACTGATTTTAAGTAAAAAATGTATTTTACTATTTGTGCTTTTAAAATATTGTATAAATATATATAAATGGAATACTGCAAGAAATATAAAATGATCATACCAAAACTTGTTAAATATAGGGGTAGATGGTAAAGTGAAAATACTTTATTTTTAATTACTAGTATACATATATTGTATGCTTTTGAGATTGAAAATCCCACCTCATAGTTTTCCCATTAAAAGCAAGCTTTTGTGTTCTGAGAAATGTATTTATGCAGAAGTTTGAAGCTTTTTATATTTACCATGTTTCTGAGCTTTCTTCCCTATTTACCCACAAACCTCTTTGAGTGTATCAGTCAATGCAAACTGTTGTATTTCTTTTAATCACATTGTTTTTCTTAAACACATTTTCTAATTAAAGAAAAAAAAAGTTACCTATAGTAAATTACATTGTTGTGAATGCATGTAGATTTGTCCATAGTCCCATGGTGCTTTGCACTACGCCATCCAGTGTATCCGTGGTGATGTGGTCTTGTGTGTTACCATTCATAATGTGACCATACCTTTTTATTACGTGGCGATAAAATCATTTTTTTTTGTTCTACAACTAGTTCTACAACTATTGTAACATTACACTATAAGTAACAAGGTAGCAATGGTATTTTTTGTGTTTTCTTAAAAAATGGGCCAATTGGGCTGTTGCTCAATGGTTTTTTGCCAAAAAGATTGGCATTGCATTTGAGAGTAGGGCAGTGTATAAAACTATTATATACCGGGGTATTAGTAACATACACAGATTTCCACTGAAATCTTACCAGGGATGTGCATTATCATAAAGCATCACTGTTTTTAAGATATTGGTGGTACAGACACATCGATGCCTACATACCTGACCTGACACACACAGCAATCAAATACACATCTCGTCGTATGCAAATTACTACACTCACCACAGGCAAGTATTATCTTAAAACACATGATTCTATGTTGAACAGATATATAAAAAAAACTGATCGAACTGACCACAGTAACTCAACTAATAGATTTCCAAATTTAGATTTAGTAGATTTTCACCAAAATCTTATCAGGTCTAGGATTATTTCTATACAGCTGTATACCCAGTTGTATTGAATTAGAATAACAATTCTTGATATATCTGCAGTTAACAGCCACATATATATATCTCACATAATAGGTGAAGGGGGAAAAAATAATTTGCACACTAGTACCCTTCACAATGTTTAATGATTTACTCCATTACGAAAACAATCAATCTCGTGGTTTAAATAGCACCACTGTTTTTGCAGAATGTCTTCCTTAAAACAAAGTTGATATACTTGTGGGTCCATAGCTATTCTTGCGCCAAATGACATTGCAGATAAAAAAAATCGTAATATTTGAAAAGAACAAATTTAATGACAGAAAATATATCAGAAATGACTAAATTACCATCACAAAGACTAAAGACCGTCACAAGAAGAGCTATGTACCCACGGATAAAGTTGATAATGTATAATACTCTGATATACTAATGATTTGCCAATTTAATAACTCGATGTTTTCGTATTACTCGAACAATTCATCTCGCCACTTTCCGCTTAATCATGCACCGCCCTCATAGTCTATTTTTCACATGTATTTCGTTTTTGTGGGAACTGTAGAAATTTTGTCGAAAAAAGTTTACTGTGTCACGTTTTTTTTTTTACTCTATTCGTATTTTTTTCAATAAAATACTTAGTCAACTTATCCTTTGTGCTATCAGAAACAAGGCGTTAAATGTAATGACAAAAGAAACTCAAGAACATAGTAGTGAAAACTGCAATAGTGTCGACACAAAACTAGAACAGAAGCTGGCCAGTGCGAAATAAAACTATATTATGGAAATATCTGGAACTAAAATGAATTCCTGTTGCTTTCCAATTGTATGGTGCTCACCTTGTCTCCGTATTCAAAAACTAAACAAAGACATTTCTCAGGTTTTCTCTGTGAAGTTCCTCATTGCAAATAAGAACGTGACGTGGAGTAATACACACTTGACGTCACGATTACAGCATGTTGATATAAGATTAATTATCTTTGATGAGTGTCAATATTTTTAATGTTTTACTTTTACAATTTTTTACTGGATGTCGCTGTAAATGATTATTCTTGGCGTGAGGTACATTTTGCTTACTACTTTGTCCTCAGTGGCACCCGACATTTCGAGCATTTTTGGTTAACTCCCGATGTCATTACAGTGGCATGACATTGCTCTTACTTTGGACAAAACAATATGGCTTTAATTGAATTCATTATGTCTTTCTTTCGACGATTCGACTTCAGTGTCGTGTTCATTTCTTCATCTCTAAGCGTCTTACTGGCATAGTAACGCATGAACATATTTGTTTTGAAAAAATCCTTCCATGCTTGACAGATTACGTCATCATCTTAGATTACTGCTATTATTTTGCGCAATTCGGTCAAATTTTTGTTCTTGTTAAACGATGCAGTGAACAAATCTCAACATCACTAGCATGTTATTGATAAATGTTCTTATTCTAATGAACGACACGCCGTATTTCTTTAACGCTGTAGTTTTTGGTGGAATTTC